AAACCCCTCTGAAAGAGTAGAAAACAAAAGGTTTGACCCAAAAAGGAGGGGAATAGGGAGGGGGCTTGGTTTTGTTTTTTAAATAGGACTGAAGATTAACATTGAAAAATCAGGAGATGATGTCCAACCCTTTTCACAAGGCAAAGCCCTCTGGTATTTCCGCCTCTGTGGTTTTTGTTTTAAATTCGTTTTTCTCTTCTGGGTGCTGATACTTCTCTCCATCCTCATGTTCTTGGTGTTTTATTGTGTTTATATTTTTTGTTTAACTTGGTGTCACTACCTCAGTTTGCCCCCATGTCCCTTACACATAAGCAAAATATTCCTTCAGCGGAGTGAAGAGGTGGCGGATGACTGGCATGCTCCAGGACCGGCCCAGCAGTCTCTGCCTTGCCAGGCGGGTCATGCTGGAGACGTCGGTATAGTGGACAGGGAAGCCAAACACCCTTTCCATTTCAGTGCACCATAAGATGTCCTCTTTCTCATTCATGAAGATGAGGAAATGCTGGTCTTTGCCCTGCTTTATGGAGTTTGACCTGGTAGTAAAGGTCCTCACTTTGCTGAACTTGTCTATTCTGCCGTGTTCCAGACACTCCTGCAGCTCCAGCTTATCGTACACAGTGGATGCCAGTGGCCTGTTCATACCGGGAAGGTGACCCCAGAAGTAGCAGGCCCTGTGTGCAGCTGACACTTCTTTGGCATCAATCATCACAGGGTTGGACTCGAGAAATGGTGAGATGTCCCTCTTGTCACTAACGCCCATGGCCACCACATTCTCAAAGAGCCAGAAGAAGGGGTGGTCATCTCTCTCATTGGGCCGTGCATCATGCAGGAGGCGGTAGAACTCAAAGAAGAGCCGGCCAGTGCCCTCGTAGTGTCCCTTTCAGGCAGGGTTGACGATGAAGAGGTCATTGCAGGGACTGCTCCCAATCACCAGATTGAATGGGCCCACTCCTGGATGTGCTCCTGCGTGACGCTGCGGACGTCCCCGATGTACATGATCTTCCCCTGGTGCCGCACCATGCCCTCTGTAATGGAGTCTTCACTCACCTCTGAGGCAGTGTAGCAGTCCACCTGGATGCCTAGGTCCTTCAGCACCAGGAGCCCAGTAGCGATTCCATCAAAGAGAGACAGCACCCGGATGGTTTCCTCTTCTCATCTGGGACAGGCAGATAAACCTCCGGAGGGTCAAACTCCTGGTTGTGGTTATTGGCGAAGAACATCTGGAGCCCAGACGGCCAGTCTTCCATGCCCAGCCATGTTGTAGGTCAGAATTCCTTCCTCCTAAGGCTGAGTTTGCGGCTGTCTGTTGACCACATTTGGTTTCATTGTCTGTTGATGGACTCTTCAGTGGCTTCCACCCCTGGGTATTTGTGAAAGATGCTGCTGTTGATGTGGGTGCCCAAGTAGCCAGTCAAGTTCCTGCTTCTGCTTCTTTTAGATCTGTGCCCAGAGGTAATGATGCAGGATTGCTTCTGCTTCTAATTTCTGAGGAAGCTTCATCCCATTTTCCACGGCAGCTGCAGCATCCTGAGTGATTTTAGGGGCGAGCCACATCCTGCCTCAGAGGAGGAGGGCGTTTCTGCTGGAGGGCACCATCCCATTGCCTGCAGCTGCTTCTTCCCTTGTTCTGCTACATGAGGGGCGGTGACTTCACCTCAGAGGACTTCCGGTGTCTGGGGACATTTCCGATCAAGACAACAGGAGAAGGGGGTGCTGTTGGCATCTGGGAGGCAGGGAGGGTGCTGCTGAGTGCCCTGGAAAGCACAGGAAACCCTGCTCCTGCTCCCTCCCTCCACTGCCCCAGCAGAGAACCACCCATTCCCTGATGCCAGAGCACAGAGGCTGAGAAACCTCGGTCTCCATCAGGTGGTCCACCCAGTCCAAGCACAGCAAGGCACAAAGCAGATGGCAGTGGCTGTGCCCTCCCAGACCCCACCCTTCTCCTGAAGATCCTGGCATGGCTGAGCTGTGAATGCTCTGCAGGAGGCAGAGTTCAGTCCCAGCCGTGCAGATGCATCTCCCCTGCTTTTCCTCGAAATGGCAGTTTCTCCTGAGCGTACCACAGGTTACATGAGCCTGGGCCAGTCAGTGACCAGCAGGGCACAGAATCGGGCTGGAGCTCAAGGAAAGGCGTCACCTGTCATGGCTCGAGAGCCTTTGCCTTGGCACTACGCATCAGGACCACGTCCAGCTGCAGGTCCTGCAGAGGTCCAGTCGTGAGAGTCCAGTTGCTTCGTTGGCAGGCAGGCCGGTCAGGCCAGGGGATTTGAGGTGCAAACCAGCTGTCCCTAGGTGTAAGTGGCAGGTCTCTCACCACTCTCAGTCACCCACTCACCTATTTATCCATTCAGTGAATACCCAGCTATTCCGCCTGTCAGCACTGGCTGCCCGAAGGGGGCAGGACAGTGAGTGAAATGACTGGGGCCCTGGTCTCCACGCCGAGGTAGGGGACATTCCCGCCTACGGCATCCGCTGCACAGAAAACTCGGAGATGGGCTTGTGATGGAGACTGCGGTCTGGGGAGCCTCGTGCCCTGCCCCACGTCACCTGGGGAGATGCAGGCACCTTACTGAGAAAGGGATGAGGAGCGGAGGCTGGAGGAGGAACCGCCGGGAGAGGGCTGGGGAGGCTGGTGTGTCAGGAGGCCCCAGTCTTGGACAGTGGGAGGTGGACATGCGCTTCCTCCCATTTCTCTTCCTTCTCCTGTCTGCTCCTGGATGTGCGCAAAGGCTGCAAGTGAAGCAGAGGGTCATTCCCGGTGGACGGGCAAGGGGGACCTTGTGGTGCTAAGGGGCTGTGTGGACAGGTGACAGAGGTGAGCTCACCAGAGGACGAACGCCCTGGGAGAGCTGGACCATCCTTCACGCTCCAAGAGAGAAGCTGGCTCCTTCTCCCCCTCCCGTCCCCACTGCCCTGTAGGCAGAGCACAGTGGAGTAAATGACCTTGTTCCCCTCCACCCTACTTGTCTCAGTTAAAAATGTAGACAGCGCCAGGGGCCCAGGGGACCAGACCAGAATAAATTGATTTTGCATGGCTCTGCCAGCCCCAAGAAAAAAGATAAATAAGAGATAATTATGGTTATTAAAGCTAAAAGATTTTTTAAGTAGGGCCAACAGGAAAAGGTGAAAGAATCTGGCGTAGTGCAGCTTGCAGAAAAGGCAGTGGGCACGGAATTGCGGGCCAGGGAGCGAGGGTTACCTGGAAGACACAATGTCGCATTCCCCATCTTCAGAAACAGCAGAGAGGAAATGTGCTGTGACGTGAGTGGAGGCTGGGATTAGACACTAGGAGGGGTTTATGTCAGAGATGCTGTTAGATTCAGGAAGGTGCCTCAGTGAGGTCTGCAGTAGCTTTCCCTGGTTCATGCTAGCAAGAGAGAAGGCGCCTGTGTGTGGAGTGGTTTGGGAGAGGCAGGTTGGGTCCCACTAGCCCTGCAATTTCCCTCCAGCCCATTCCTAGCTCCAGTACTGCGTGAGGTAGCACATTTTTCCATCAGATCAGCAATCCTGAGTTGAGGGTGAGGAGGGAGGAAGGCTCATCCCATGGAAAGGTCTGGAATGGGCTGTGACAGGAGCTTGGCGTTTATCCTGCCTCTGTGGTAATGGCCTTGTTTCCAGTGGGGCCAGTCAACTTCCAGCTTGCAAAACTGACCCCTCTCTGCCTGTGTTTTGCCCGTGGCTTTTGAGACCGCTGGCTCATGGGTGCTGGCAGGCCAGAGGCATCAGCAGACACACTTCTAAGGTGTTCGCACACACTCGCTCTCCTTCCACTTGTGTCTACTTCAGTCCTTCTGCATGGCTTGCACTCCAGCCTCTCCCCACTCCACAGTGCTCCCCACACTCCCTAGCATAGGACCTGCCAAACCAGACTCTAGCCATCCACTGGGAGACGGCTGTGGGATTGGGCCTGCTGTCCCTGCGAGTGACGCTCTGGGCTCTCTGCCTGCCTGCCTGCCAAGGCCAGTGTTCCTTGTCTGCCGCCACCCGTCATTCCTGTGGGAGCAGCTTTGTGCCGTCCCTTGGGTAACTGGCAGGAAGAGGAACGGTGGCCTGAGACATAATGAATTTCCTCGGGGAGTCGTCGTCTGAAAGCGGAGGACCAGGGTGGAAGAGCGCACTTGCGGAAGGCGCACAGTAGCCTTGGCCTGGCCGCCAGGCAGAAGGCTGGACAAGGTGGCCACAGCTCAGCCCTTTCGGCCTGGGGCCACCTGTGGGCCCCCCTTCCCTCTCCCTGAGGCCCTGCTTATTTGTGACCTTGTGTACCGCCTGGCCCAGTCCCCTTGCACCCCAGACACTCTGGGGGTCGATACCTAAAGCCACTGGCAGTTCACACCTCAGGAACTGGTGGCCAGCTGGGAGGAACAGAATGGTTTCCAGATGGGCAAGGACCCAGCAGGGGCCGTGGGCACCTACACGTGCGGTGCTGACCCCCGGGGGCCTCCACAGGGAAGGCATCTGGGAGCAAGTGACGCCCCCCGCCAGGGCGGAGGGGAGGGCCTAGAAGGATCGTGCAAGGACCAGCGTCTCTGTGCCTCAGTGGCACTGTCTCCCTCCCCACCCTCCTGTTCAACACCATGCCAGGTGCGCCCTCTCCTCCAGGGGCTCCTTCCTGTCCATTACTGATGCCTGACTCAGACCTGGGTTTGCCCCTGGCTGTGTCGTCACCAGCCATGCGACCTTGGGCAGGCGATTTCACCTCAGGCTTTGTCTATAAAATGGGCTAAGAGTGCCTGCCTCAAAGATCATCATGGTAGATCACACACACACACACACACACACACACACACACACACACACACATTCACATATTTACTTAAACACTGCCTGGTGAATTGTCTAGCACATTAGTCAGCACCCAATGGGCTCTGCCATAATGTGCAAGGGAAGAGCCAGTGGTAAAGCAGGGAGGCCTGGGCCCAACTCCAGCATCTTGGTGGGGTCTCTGAGCCCCAGGCCAGCCCGGGACCGAGGGACCTAACCAGCATCTGCACTGCTTTCAGAGGCTCCATGAGGAGTTGCCGCTCAGCCTGCAGGACCTGGAGGACGTGTTTGGCGCCCTGGATGCTGATGGCAATGGTTTTCTGACCCCAGAGGAGTTCGCTACTGGCTTTAGTAAGTGCTGCTGCATGCAGGGACTCGGGCGATGGGGTGCCAAGCATTCCTGCCCTCCACTGTTCACCCCCTCCTCTGCTCCCTCAGGCCCCAAGAATGGCAAGGAGGAGGTGCTAGGGCTCAGGAGAGATGGGGAGCAGCAGTGAGATTCTTGCCCTGGTGGACAAAGTGGACAAATCAGTGGGACAACTCACCTCTTTCCAGCCCGAGCCTGCTGAGACTTCAGAGCTGAGGGAGCAGCAATTAGGGAATTCCTAGAAATTCAGAATACAGCATTTGTACTCAGGGTAACCAGCGGGAAGCAGAGCTGAGATCCATGAATAAGACAAAGAACCCAGGGACACCATCAGGTCAGACGACAAGCAGGCTTCCTGCAGAAGTCAGATCCCCTGCCTGGCCTTCAGGATAAGGTTTCTGTGTCCCAGGCAGCGTGAATGTGGAGAAAGTGAGTCTCTCCTGCGAAGAGGAGGGTGCTGGGGGATGGATGACAGCACGGACCACAGCACGGAGCACCAGGCTGCTGGAGACAACAGAGGGAAGGGTCTTAGCGTTTAGAGAAGAAAGCAGCCAGGACCACGAGGGAGCCCTCAGTCCTGTCGAACCTCTTGTCTTTCCCAGGCTTCAGCATCTCTGCAGATTGCTCATGGAAATGCAAACGACAGGCATCTGGGATACGGTGCCCTTGGCTTTGCTGGGGTGTCCCTTTGCTTCCCTCTGGTGAACCTGTAGGTGGCTCCCGCACATAGGAAGGCTGAGCTCGGCCTGGGTGAGGCTGTGTAATTCAGATCTCTGCTCTGCACCCCAGGCCACTTCTTCTTCAGCCAGAGTAACCTGAGTCAGGAGGATGCAGACAAGCAGGTGGCCCGGCTCCCGGAGGAGAAGGTGTACCAGTCCAGAGGGGATAGGGACCTGGGGAGTGTGGACCAGGATGAGGAAGCCCAGTTCCAGATGCTGATGGACAGACTCGGAGCCCAGATGGTGCTGGAGGAGTAAGTGTGCTGGCCAGTGTGGGCCCCAGCCCGGGAGGACCTGCTCAGTGCCCCATCAGCAGCTCCTGCTTGCCAAGCCTGCGTGCCGGCTCCGTGCGCGGTGCTGAAGAAAGGACCCTGCTTTCTACCACTTGCCCTGTGCTGCGCCTGTCATGTGTCAGACTGCTTTGCATTTCAGTTTTTCCGTTGGCAAACACTCCTCTCTTCTCTCCCATCCTTCCTCTTCCTCACTCCCTCCTGTGCATTATCCTCACAGACCGCAGGGCTGGCTGTCCTCTGCGGCTGCCCCCACATCAGAGCTGTGCCCTCCTCAGGCTTCACAGTTCCTTCTCCCCCACAGCTTCCTGGTGCCATCAGCTCAGAGCGCTCCTACCTGAGGCGGAGCTGGCCCAGTTTCCAGGCTCCAGGGCACAGTGCATCCAGCTCCCATCAGGCTGTGCCAGGCAGAGGACCCTCGGGCAGAAGCCTGTGCACAGCGTGTCAGGCAGAACAGCTGGGAAATTAACCAGTTTTACCAGCCTGCTTCTTGGCTCAGTGGCTCAGCTGAACTTTTTAGATGGCTGAACTTCAAATTAAACAGTATCCCTTTGTTCCCCCCAAAAGTGATTTGGAGTACAGAGACGCATGACCTCAAGCCCTGACATTTAGTCAAGTAATAAAATAAAGCAAAATAGTAAAGTGTGATGTCTCTGCTGGTAGAGACAAGATGGTGGGCCTTGACAGCATGCAGCACTTTACTCCCCTCTGCCTGTGTCTTCATCCCAGTCTGGCCCTAGGGTGGATCTGAGGTTGTGTGCAGGCTGAGAATAACCTCACCATCGGAGCGGATGTTTCCTGAGCTCCGGAGGAGGACCATGGTGGAAAGTGATGCAGAGAGGGCCACACAGGAGCCTGCACACAATACACAGGCCAGGCTCTGCCTCTGTCAGCAAATGGTCTGGTAGAAAAGTATGCCGGGCAAGAAGGGAGCCTGGACGAGCTCTGGTGGGAGGCGCTCGCAGACGTCACCGTGCAGAGCAGCCGCCGCCGTGCTGCTTCAGAGGGCTGTGCAGGGTGCAGGGGCACAGGTGGCTGTTGGGGGCCGCTCACTGCTCAGATACCTGACTCGTCTCCAGTAGGACAAATGGCAGACACAGTGATGCTTCCAGGGGTGCCCCCTGCTAGGGACGGGAGCAGAGAGGCCAGTGCAGTGGGTGGGCCAGGCCACTGGCATGAAAGAGAAGGCCTTGATCCTCAGCCTCTCTGGCAGGGATTTCAAGCCAGAACTCGCCAGCTGCTGCTCCCAGGACCCGTGCACAGGCCTGTGCAGAACTGACCAACATGGGCGATCCAGAAAGTGAAGGCTTTGGGGAGGTTTGGGGAGGAGGCTGTAAGAGCAGATTACAGAGGTGGTGGCCGGACTTTCCCCCTCACTGATGTGGCCTCACGCTTGGCCAGAGATCCCAGATGAGGGCAAGAGAAGAGTCTTTAGAAGAGTGAAGAGCTCAGGGGTCCAGAGACTGCTCATTAGCATGGCTCATGTGCTGCTCTGGAAGAAGAGAGATGGAGTGGCTGACTTCTCAGTGTCCTTTGTAGCCTGCACTCCTGCACCCTTCTGAGACAGTGACCCTAGTGTGTCCAAAAGCTGTAGACTGAACATCTGCACTCCCACTTTCTTGGTGGTCTGATTGGCTGAGTGATTTGTCAGGTTAGTGGGCTTTGGGTTATTTTTCATCAAAAGTTGAAAGGTTTGGCTCTTCTCCAGAAATCTGGGAAGAGCTGATATGACCAGATGTGGCAGGGGTGGACAGCGACCTACCCTAGTAAGATGGACCTTCAGTTCATGATGCATGCACATCACGAATGCATGTCCCAGTCCATTTGGGCTGCTGTAATGAACTCCCATTGATGGGGTACCTTCTACATGGTAGAAGTTGTTTCCTCATGGTTCTGGAAGCTGGGAAGTCTGCCGCTTTGGTATGTAGTGAGATCATGCTTCCTGGTTCACAAACAGCTGTCTTCTCCATGTCTGTTCTTAGGGGGGAAAAGGTGAACTCAGGCCTCTTGTACAAGGGTGCTAATCCTCCTCAGGAGGGCTCTGGCTTCACGACCTACCCACCTCTTCACACCCTCATCTTGTGGGCCAGGCTTCCCACATGTGAATTGCCGTGGGGTGTAAGCATTCAGACCACAGGAGGGAGCAACTGCCATAGGGACGGGGTCATTGGGGTCCCTGAGACCTTTAATCTCCAAGCCTTTTGTGGTACTTACGTGGCACAGCCCACTCCACGGAAGACACTAACAGCGTGTTGAGGGAAATGGAACTCCCCCTAGGAAACAGAGGTTGCCTTCTTCCCCTTCTCTTGTCTCCCAGATTCCTGATGTCATTCAGTATAGTACTAGGGTTAACAGATGGCAACCTGCACTTGTTGGGTGGATGCATGGTCAGATGGATGGATGGATGGATGGATGGATGGACTGATGGATGGGCTCATTGAGTAGGTGGATGTTCGGGTAGGATGACACCAAGAAAGGATGGAAGCGAAGGAGTGAGGGCAAGAGGGAGGGAGGAGGCAGGAGGGGCTAGATGATCAGATACTAACCACAGTTGGATTCGTTTCTCAGTGGGCTTCTTTTCTGCTGAGTACAGAGAGTAATATCTGCCTCAAGAGCACTGTAGAGTGCCCCTATCCAATATTGCTGTCAAGCAGAGTTTCTGAAATGCAGCACTTGTTACATAAGCAGGAAGGAGTTTATTCTTCATCTTGAGGGGCCCAGGCCATAGCTACTCTCAGATCGTATCTGTCTGAGAATTCAGTGGGGGAAAAATCAGGTTTATGTATGACTTATCTTGGTCACTGGTGTAGATTTCCAGGTTGGGGCAGGGAGAGCCGATCCCTGACTATGGCTGCAGGCGCAGGATGGAGACCTCGGTCTCTGCTGTTCTGCAGCTGCCCATGCCTGTCCCTAAGGGTCACTTCTGGACCTGACACTCTGTGTCTTATCTCCACTTCCCTCCAAGTCCTCCATCTTCCCCTTGTCTCAGCACTGAGGGCCAGCCTTCTTTGGGCGACCGCTCTCACCCTTAGCTTGCAGTCTTTGTCCTTGCCCGCCCTGGCTCCCGGCTTCCTGGCCTCTTCTTCATGTTGTGACATGCTTGTTCTGAGATGCTGTGGGTGCCTCCTTGTGCGAGCTCAGCACCTCCAGCACTCCTGGAGGGACTCAGAGAACAGAAGAGTTGGGAGGCTCGTGTGGGAGCCATTGGTTCCAAGAGCAACTGTGCCCTGTGCGTGCCTGGGTCCTCATCTGTGATGGGGTAACTGCTCCTATAGCTCCTGAGGACCAGTGGGCTGACGTGCATGAAGCAGCTCACATGCAGCAAGCCCCTGACTAACGACAGCCACTGTTGTGCTCGTGGTGCTCGAGGCGACACTGTTTCTGCCTGTTCACCTCCCACAGTAACGGCTCTCTTCTCTCCCAGTGAAAGTGACATCAAGCAGCTCTGGCTGCAGCTGAAGAAGGATGAACCTCACCTGCTGTCCAACTTTGAAGATTTCCTGACCAGGATCTTCTCCCAGCTCCAAGAAGCCCACGAGGAGAAGCATGAACTAGAATGTGCCCTAAAAAAGTGGGTAACCTGTCTCAGCGGCTGTGTGTGCCTCTGTGCAAACCCAAAAACAGTTTCTCTTAGTCTCCCTCTGAACACTTCGTGAGGCCTTCTTGTCACTGTCTGCTGGGGGCGGGGGGGCTGTGGCTCTCACTGTCTACTCTGAAGCCAGTCACGTGGACTAAGCATTCTCTGTTTGTTAGGTGCTGTTCTGAGTACTGTATATACACTGGCTCATTCAGGGGTAGGAACAATCTACTATTGCCCATATTTTACAGATGAGGAAGTCATGGCACAGAAACACACAGCTTCTCAGTGGCAGAGCTGTCAGAGCCTGGTGACCAGGAGCAGGAAGCCCTGCACTCTGGGCCTCCCCCAACTCCAGATGGGCTCTTACTCTGCCCAGGGCCCTCCTGCCTCTGCCCTCCCAGGTGCCCTCTCCTGCTGTGATCTCACCATGGCCTCCACAGGCGCTCTGGGAGGAGCTGCTGCAGAACCTGACCATGTCAGCACAGGCAGGTGTACCCCAAGATTAGGGCAAGCCCACAGACCCCCATCCCCCCATGGGGGCTACCATGGGGTCATGCACTGCACTGGCTCCCCTCCACCCAACGTGCAGCACCCGGTGAGCTCGCAATTTTAGAGCATGGATGGCGTTGGTGAAAGGAGGGGAGCCCCAAACCCAGGGCTGCGTAGGACAGAGCTTGGAAGCCCACTGAGGGCCAGCATGCTCCACCATGGCACTGCCATACACTGGTGCCCAGGCATGGGGATTTGTGCATGTACTGCCGTGGTGGCGAACCTACGGCAGGAGAAACGCAGCGAGCTATTGCACCATTGAAGCTCTAAAGGACTTGCCATCACTGCACCTTAGGAAGCCCCAGGGAGTCCACCCTGCACACTTTGCAGACCACCTGCCCCTCTGCAAATGCCTCCAGCAAAACCTGCTTCTGAGCAGCTGTGTTTTGGAGCCACGCTGAGATGGCTGAGAGGAGGCCGCCAGCCCCCACTGAAAAGGAGGAGGCTGCCCGTGCTTGCTGGGGGGGATTCTCAGCGTGCTGCTCTGAGCCTGGGGTCCTTGTCATCCTGTGGCTCCCCACAGCAACCCTAAAAATAACTTGTGGCAGGTAGATGTGTGTCTGGGAGAAAGGAACCCGAGGGCTCCGCGTTCTGGGGGAGTTGCGGCCAGCAGTGCTGGAGGTTGCCCTGTGGCTGTCAGGAGAAGCCCGGGGTGGAGAAGAGAGCATGAGGGGAACTCCGGTGTGCAGCTTTGCCAAGCGAGTGCGGAGTCAGGTGGACCTGCATTCTGCTGTTTGAACCTTGGGTCTGCTGCTACTGGCTGCACAGCTCGAGCCGAGTTACTTCAGCGCTGAGCCTCAGCTTCCTTGTCTGCCATGCCAGAGTTCTGAGCAGTACATGTGACCATACATTGCTCACATAGGAGTAATCTGTGGGTGTCAAAGGCATGGGGATTGTCTTAACCAGTGCCTTTGCTGGTTATGGAGGGTTTATCTAGCCCACACAGAAAGCTTGAGTCCAGACACAGAGAGGTAAGGTTAAAGCTCCTTCTGTCATTCTGGACAGCAGGGTGCAGAAGTGTGTGCAGCCTCTCGGGCCTCACCGGCCCCTGCCTGCATTTTGACAAGACCCCGGGAGCTTTGTCTTTAACACTGGATGTTAACCAGACATCCAGGCACGGCTGGGAGCCAGGAGCCCTGGACAGGGAGTGGCCCTGCTCGAGTCTCAGCTCGGCCTCTTTGAGCCTTGGCTTTGGTCTCTATGGTGAGAAGCTAGATTGTTGCTGACCTGGTGGAGTTGCAGCAGAGCCGGTGGCCCCACTCGGGGGGGAGGGAGCTCTAGCTCTCTAAGGAGGGGCTGCATGCGGCAGGTAGGTGGCTACCAGCCCTCAAAGCGCTTTCTGCCTGCCACGGACAGGGGGACAGGCCCCGGGGCTGCAGAGCCCTTGTGCTGACATCATCTGAGCGCAGCAGGAAGCGCCTCGCCCTCATTTAGTAATTGCTTTAAAAGTTCTTGAGATGAAAGTCAAGGCCACCCGGTTCTCTTGTGGAACTATCACAGCTGAGCTTCGGCCCTTTATGCCTGTTCCCAGCGGGCATCCCTGCCTCAAGTCAGCCCATTGAGCCAGCTCCTGGCTGTGGACCCAGCTGAGGTCTCTCCTGGTCTCATTCCAGGGGAAATTTCTGGGCACAGAACCAGAGAACTGCACGTGGTGGAGGGCAGAGCCCTGGAGGAGGGGACAGACAGGCCACTTACGAGCTGTATGACCTCAGAAAACTCACTTTACCTCTCTATGCCTCCGCTTTTTTTGTTGACCACACAAGTGACTGGGACTGGTGTTTCTCAGACTTAGTGTTTGTGACTCGCCAGAGGAAACACATTTTACTTTGCAATCCCTGCACCTCTATCGTGTTTGTGTGTGTATGTAACTGAAAGATTTCGTGAAGTGCTATTAGCCCGTATTACACGTGACACACTCTGATATTTTCGATTAGCTTCTCTTTTATTCTGTCTTTAAAAAGATTGTTCACACCTTGCTGTTGGGACAGAAGCTCTGTCAGGCCACCTATAGCTCAGAACTCAAACAGGAGACTGGACATCCCTGTTGGAATATAGATTCCGCATTAGCCATTGAATATGTGGATGAGATTCTTTGCAGGTGACGCAGGGGGACGTGAAGTGGTTCTCAGACACCTTGCAGAAGTGAGCTAGGAGGTTTGAGCTTGTTTGGAGGAGCACACCAGACTCAGGAGAGGACTCTGCCGTGGCTGATGATCACACCTACCCGGCACAGCTCAGACCCAGAGTTCTTCGTGAGGGGCCCGAGCCCCACGGTATGAAAAGTCAGATGGTATTGCCATGGCCAGCGAGGCCTCTTCCCCCCACCCCTTCAGCAGACTGCACCCCCTGTTCTGCCTCCAGAGAAAATGACACCCAATCTGCTGCATGGCGGGGATATGGCTCCCTGTCCCCAGCTCCAGGGTTGAGCCATGGGCTCACGGTCACAGGGTTGCTGCAGTGAGTGAAGAAGGCCCCCAGCTTCCTGCTCAGCTTCCCCCAGCTCCCAAGGGCGAGGCAGGTGCCCGCAGGGACCGTGGGGCTGGGGAACCATCTTCCCAGCAGATGGCAGAGTCCCATCCCCACCGGAGACAAGCAGGGCCTTCCTTGACTCATGGCCACGGACTGCTAGAAAGTGCATGTTGGAGCCTGGAGATGTCCTAGGAGCGTGCAGCCTCAGCCTCATGCAAGCCCATGACCTCATCTCACCAAGACATCTGGTGCTGTGTGTGGACTTGAGAAGCAGAGGCTGGGAGGCTGGGAGCAGAGGTTGAGGGTATCAGATTTGGGGTCCTAATGCCGGGTACCGTGTTGGCCGAGGTGTGTCCAGTGGGAGGCGCCACAGTCCCATGGCATGAGGTAGAGGACAGAGCCACATGCAAGAACCTGGGGTACAGCACGGAGCCTCTGCTAACGTTCCAAGTGAGGTCTGTTCCTTCCGTGCCCCACTTCTCTCTGGGTGTGGGAATTCGACTGCAACTGAGCCACACTCCTCTGCCTTCTCCACACAGACATTCAGAGCTCTGTCCCTCTTAGCATGAGGGCTGGAGATGGTTTAGACAGTAGGGAGAACTTCCAACCCTCAGAATTTCTTTGTCATGGAAAGCATTCTCTGCATTTACCCTTTTTTGGGGGGAAAAAAAGCTTTAAATCTACAGAGGCCACAGAAAGATCCTGTCGGGAGCAGCAGGAGATTCAGACCTCTGCACAGATTTTCTCAGGGACAATGGGCTCCCACCCCAGGGGCCCGGTTTTCTTAGTCTTGGGTGGGAGTTTGTATCAGGATAAGGATAAATTCCCTCGTGTCTGGGGAGAGCTCTGAGCGCTCCAGACATAAAGTACTTTCAAGACCAGACAGCAGCCATGGCTCAGCTCCACCATCTGCAGCTCGGTAGCCGGGGTGCTGCACCGTCACAGGACCACGCTTGGCCTTGGCAGGCTTCACAATACCCCAGACCCTCTTTGGAGCCATTCTTGTCTTGTCCACATGGGTCAGGCCACAGGCAGATTCCCAAGGATCCCACCTCACTGGCCCCCTCCTCAGCTGCCCTGCAGGCCCTTTCCCTCGGGTGTGGTTTCCCTGGGCTCTGGGAGGGTGACCAGACCTGACAGGCAGCCCAGCTGTACAAACGGCACCCAACCTCTGAGACTTGGCATCTGGTGCAGAGCTGGGACAGGAGAGGATGCGCAGGCCAGGGGTGACACATGTTCTTGGCCTGACCTCCAGAGAGGGAAGCATCGCATATGTTGCAAGTGGCTCTCTCATCCCTGGGCTTCAAAGAGACCTTGTGTGAGCCCTCAGCTGCTTGGCTTTGGAATTACCCAAGGACTTTTAAAGCAAAAGGTAGCGTCCTGGACGCCTCCTCATGAGACTCTAGAGTGGACTGTCTCAGGGAGGAGGCCAGGAGTGCTCCTCTTGGCACATACCCAGGTGCTTCTGACACAGGCAGGCCGAGGACCACGCTTTGAGACGTGCTGCTCCAGCCAGTTCTCCCTCAAGGTACCAGCCTGCAAAAGGTACACCGCAAGGCGCCTTCAGTCTGCACTCTGCATTTGCTCATAGGGTGAGGGTGAGCTCTCGGGAAGACGGATGATGCGCCAGCTTAATCAGATCCATGTGAGTTAAGGGCAAATTGTCATGTGAGGCAGAACTGCGTCGTTAGCATTGCCCTGGGAGCAAATGGAAAGATGAGGGCTGCTTGTGCTCCATGTACACCATAGGCACGATTTGTAAAACCGACTAATGAAGAATGGTTCGCTTTATGGGTGGGAGAAAACTGCAAAGTTGATTTTACACAAGGCAGCAGAATCTAACTAGGAAGAAATCATCCATCTTGAAAATCCAATTGGTGATTTTACAACCTTTGCAGAGTTTTCTACAAACCCTTGCTTTTCCCTTTCATTCATCCACACTCCCCTCGCGTGTGGACCTACGTGTGGGAGAG